ATGTCGACAAAATGCCATCACCTCATCATCCAAAGCGGTCGAGGTGGTGTGAGTCACCGCAAACACGTACTCCTGTCCCCCTCCAGACAGCTGCAGCAAATCATTACTTGCCAGCGACAAAATAGAAGGAGACGACACCCCCATGGGGCCAACCTCACGGTAGGTGTAAGACGCAAAATTCACGAGTGTCAGGTGCGGCGTGTTGCAGGGCCCACTTACCACCAGCATGGCGGGATCACCAAAGCCCTTTTTATGTATTTGAACCATGTGTTGCGTCCGCCCGCACTGCACAAAACCGCTCCAATCTGTTTTTGAAGAAAATACCGCCTCGACCGGGGCCGAGTAAGAAGACGCCTCGCCATTTTCCTCCCAAGGAAATGTAAACAGGTCCACATACCCGTAGCACGAAATAAATGTGTAGGGAAACACACCCGCAGCCGGCAAAACTACACGATTAACCCATTGCACCTCGCTCCTGAGTGTATCCTTGGAACCAATGGTGTGCTGCACAAACAGGCTACGGGTGGAATCCATGTTGACAATAAACAGCGCCGGAAACAACTCCATCGTCTTCTCTGTCGCGTCAGCCTTTGCACGAAGGAGGAAACAGTGAGAACCACACGGTGCCTCTCTCTTTTCGAAGACATTGCAGAGGAGCATTTGTTCTTCCAGACCCTCATTCACCTCAAACGTCGATGATGTTACTTCCACTACACGCAATACAAGTGATGCATGGAGCGGGAGATAGGCAAAGTTTTTCCCATAAGAACATGAAAGAACCCCTCCACCCAGTGTGCCAATGGAATCCCCTGCCTCAGATACAAATTCAACATCCATCCGCGAATTATTTTCTATTCCAAATATATACCGTGGCACCACACTGTAGACCGGAGCAACGCCATCCAATGCATTCAGTTGTCTGCTTTCGATGTTTAACTCAAAAAAGTAACGTCGAGGAAACTCCTCGTGTTTCATCACAATACACTCTCCCTCCGCGGGGTCAATCGCGTTTAAATCAACTCGTTCATTGGCAACGTATCGCTTGTCATAGACGATGCATTCAAAAAGATAAGCCACGGGAGTACCAAACGGATCGTGCCGGAGTCTCACAAACGTATTGTCGGGATCCACAATTGCCTCTTCAACAAAATCGTCACGGATGTACAGAAGCACTCTTATAGGGAATCGCGTGCCGTTATGAATGCCTGGTCGAGCTGGAGCAAAAAGCATGGTAAGCAGACAGCCCTTTAAATGATACGTTACATCAACATACGCCGAAGATTCTGCAAACGAAAACTCCTTGAGACGCCCAATGGAGTCTTCGCCACGTGAAAGTGCCACTTCAAGAAGTTTACGCGGTGATTCCTCCCAGAGCAGCTCATCACGTGACTCATTATTGTCTTCAATCGACGCCAGACGTGTGACGACGTCTGTGGAGTCAAGGCAACTAAGAGGAATGCAAGAGAGCTCCCCTGGGCGGATCATGGCAACCTCACTCCCCTGACGCATTGAACGAAACGATATATTATAGGATAAGTAATTCTTGACGTGAAAAACTGTTCGAAACGTCACATTTTGTGCGAGGGTACCGGGTTGCAAACTTGTGAGAATATGAATGCGTTCGCCATTTTCAAGAACAGCCACCTTTTCAGCATGAAGAAGAACGGCATGTTTATTGTCGGAAAATGATATCCCGCCCTTTTCGAAATGATCCACGCGTTTTCCATCAATCAGCTGAAGACAATCCGGGAAAGACAATGTTCTCTTTTCAAGGGTGAGACCCTCGCCAAAAACAAATTGTTCCGTCGCATCCTGCAACGTCACTTCCACACCCAGGTAGTTCTCCAGCCTCATTGCATACGGCACCGTCTCAGCGTCGCCATAGCCCTGCATAAATGTCAAGAGGGACAAAACGCACTTGATTTGCTCGCTGGAGAGAGAAAGCTCACATGGGGAGACAGACACGTCACATGACGCACCAGAAAAATCCTCCGTGCGAGCAACCACCAGCACAGAGAGCAGATTCCGTAAAAGTGAAACATGCGATTGCGAAGAAAATTCCCAGAGAGAAAGCTGCTGTATCCCTGATCGAGCCTCCAGGAAAGCCTCCCCTGTTGTTTCCCGCCTTGACACAACAGAAGTACTATCAAGGATAAGGCTTATCAATGGCGCCCCACCACTCGGTGGACACAATTCAACAGGAATGATGGACACTGTCACAAGTGCCTTCCACCTGGCAACTGAAAAGCCGCGTGTTTTCACAGGCGATGGGTACTCTCGCACTGAAGCCTCGGAAAAGGGTACTTCGGCGTTCCACACTCCTCTCAGGCAACGCATTGTGCTAAACAACAAAACGGGTATACTCACACTCCCTACTCGCAAGGATGAACTCAGTGTTGCGTAGTCATCCCTGTGCCTCAGCGTCCAATCCAAGTCCAAATCCATACGAGAAACCAGGCCGTGTAGGGCCCCCTTTTCTATAAATTCAAGCCGTCCTCGTTGCAAGCGCAGATGAGAGACGGTTTTCTTGAAGCATGTAAAAAAACGCAGATCCACCGTTGAGAGATTCAGGATGAGTTTGCACTCATCGCGCAGTGTTAAGCATAAAGCACCGCGATGAAAAGAGAATAAAAATTTTTGCACCGTTTTCTTCTCCACCTCCGCCTGAGCGCCGGTCGCATTTGACTCGCCGCCGAAATCCTCTCCAATGCAGTTGTCGCACACAAACGAGGCACATTCGTCCTCAACAGTGATGTCATGCTGAAAAAAAAAAAAAAAAAGTGGCATCGGCGAAAGCACACATGGGTCCCACTGCAGACCACCATGTGTATTCCCGAGGTGCAGGGAAGAAAGGTGCAGTCTTCCACCAAAACCATTTCGCCTGGAGAGTCAAAAAACCACGGAACAGTCCGGTCCAAATTATAATGCCCACCTCGTAGCAAAGTGCAGTTCACCACATTCCGCCTTTGAATTGAATTCATCATGTGCCGAAGTTCCATCCATAACCCCAACAATTCTTTCACGACATCCGCTTCAGAAACCCCTTTGAGATGCACGTTCCAATTCTTCACCACTGCGTGAGTGTACTTCTCACAGGCCACAACTGATGTGTCGCTATCCATGTCGCAATCACTAAATACTCCACTTAATTCCTCGGGAAGGGGAGCAGATTGCTGGGCATATTTCACCCCCTCAACCTCCAGCCGGATCATATCGCCCACATTCAATTTAATCGAAGGAGCAGTGCATTCAGCAGGTGAGCGTTTTACCGCTTGTACAGTGTCATCCCAAAAGTCCTCTACAGCAATGGGTAGCGTGGCTGTGAAGGAAGAAACAGTTGTGCAGAGACCAACGGACATAAATCGGTGGTGAAACACTTCCAGCTCAAGATGGGGCATACTTATATTCGCTAAAAGCTTTTCACAAACGTTGATCAACGTCAATGGTGAACTTCTTCCCGTAGCTCAGGAAGAAGTTCACCAAAACTCACAAGTGGCGCACCCGCACCACCATTTATTGAGGGCATATTCACTCGGCACATTAAAGCTTCATCTCCGCCAAGCTTAAGTGCACAAGAAGAAGCGTACATGACGAAGGCCAAATTGCTAAAACCACTAAAAAACAGTCGGTATGCTTCTGTAGGCACAACCTTGTTCACAAAAAAAGTGGCGTAATCTTTTATCAAAGTCCCCAACAAATCCAATTCCAAAAAAATGAGTCGTTGCATACAGACCTCCGCAAGACACACTGAGACCTGCAAAGAGGACGCAAGATACGGTCGTGCGGTTGTTGGAATTGAACTTAACTGGCGGCAGTAAAAGCACTTTATTGGGGCAAATGTCAGAGCATCCAAGAACCGAAGCGTTTCAGCGGAGCAGTACGTCGCATCGCCATATACATGGAATTGCATAGCATCAATATGCAATAAATTTCGTGTGGAAGACGCCTTCCATACTGATTCCAGCACCCCTATCGACACATTCACACGTGAAGCGTCACTTGTTGAACTTCTTTTTGAGTATAAAATGCCGCTAGGACACGTCACCGTCAATACACCTCCTTCCACATAATCTGTTGAAAACTCAAACGATGATATGTTCGCATGCACAGAAGAAAACCCATACGTTTGTGCCCCTCTCCACATATCCATAGTTCCCAGCTGCATACGGAGATTTAAGGGTTCAAAAGTAATAACGACACCCAAAATATATGCCCGCTGTAGTTTTAACGCGGGATTAAACTCCTCTTTTAATTCAGCCTCACAACACACCTCTGCGAAAGACTTTTTTATCTGTGTGTTACCCGTTGTTGACTGCACTCTTGATACAAAGCCTGGCATGTTACTAACCCGTAGTAGGGCATCGTTCCACTCAGTTCGAACGTGGTACAAATACTCCCATAGCGCATTCGGTACATTTAACGTCACCGCAGACACCAAGATATCCTCCTCTTCAGTCATTTCCACCTTCATGGGTGATAGCACGTCCGTTTCCTCGCCAAAACGCACAGACAATTCCTTCATCAAAAGACCCACACGTGAGTCACCGGATGTTCGCTCTATATGCGTCAGGGATAGTTGCTTCAAATGCAACCGCAAATCATCCACATGAAAATCTATCAATGGGAAAACAAAACTTGTGGTTTTTTCACATCGATTACTCAAGTTTGTCTCCGGTGAATTGCAATTTGTTTCTGGAATCGCCCGCAGAACGTGTGGCATAGCGACCATGATGGGTTGAACCAATTGCAGCATCCAATTAGGTGTGGTGATAAAACGCAACGCTTCTAACGTCGTCCTAACAAAAGTCATGTCATTGCTTTCGGTTTGCTGAAAGGAAAAAAAAGGTTCCCCGGAATCCAGCGCCCGTAGCAGCTGAGACTTTCCCCCCGCAACCAACGT